ATTCTGCCACTAAGCTAACAAATGAGATCTTTAAATTTCTACCACAGTGTTTTTTTTCCCCCACCATAAAGCACAAAACCATAATGTTTTAATTATCAAGATATTTATTTTTCCCATAACAGCTTTCTTTTCTATAGATGCTATAACCTTTCTCCAATATTAATTATAGCTTCTTTTAACTTTTTTTGTATATTCAAATAACTAACTTTTTCAGGTGTTAGGTCTTCTATTTGTTGAATTTGGTGACTTTCATCGTGATAAATTTCTTCATGCAATTCTTGCTTGTCTGAACATTTTTGTGATCAGAGTCACTGTTTGCCTCTTCGGGATGTCTGTTCCTTTCTTATACAGTCACCCAGGTGCTTGTGGGAAAATAGCAGGGTATGTTGCAAGCCAGGTGAGCTGTTAGCTAGGCTTTTGTTCCATGACTCTGTGCCATTCCTGGGGGTCATTAGCCACCTGAGGAAATACTTCTCCTAAACTCAGAGCCTCAACTCATTACTCGATCTTGATGACAAGCTGCTACTGCCCACTGCTCAGCACCATTGTAGAAAATAGGGGGGACTGACTAGTTCTGCTCAGAAAGCAATTACGCCGTTACTGATCCAGTGTCCCAGAAGCCTCACCCCCTTTTGCATTTAATAGCTTTGAGCTTGGAGCTCCCTGGGAACCATTCCCACATCTGCAGTGGTGTTCTCCTGCTTTCCTTTGTGTTGTGCCTTTTCTACCCTATTGCTCTGCATGAATCAAACCCATCTTTGTTTTTTCCCTATCTGCTTTCTTCTTGCATGAATTATTGTTTTATTATACAATTAAGATTTATTATTTTAAAAAATCTTTTCAGCTATTTCAAGAGATTTCAGCAAAGTACATGCATGCCTTCAGCCAACTATCTTTATCCAACTACTTTCTTCTCACACTCCATTAAACAAACTTAACATGAAAAAATATTTTCTGAAAAATGGTTACTTTTTACCTAGAATATGAAAGCCTAAAATAGTGAACACATCTCTCGTGAACTAATCATAATAAAAGGCAAGCAAGACAAGTAAGTTTTATTTTGTTTTTCCCTCTGCTTGTTATTAAGCTATTGTCTCTTAGCTTCAAGTCCATTCTTTATTTCTTTTTTTGTGACTGTGGGGCTAGAACTCTGCCAATCAAAGTTTTCCTTTGCGAGCTAGATCTCTGTTAGGCTTTTCCAATAGGGGATACTAGAGAGAAATTTGAAGGCCAGAGGAGAGAGAAGGGATGTGTTCCCTCGGCTTCCTGCTTTCTTTCCTGCTCCTCTCAGCATCAGCCAATACTGCTTCACTCCAGCAGCAGGTTGATCCAATAGCTCAGGTAATTCCAGTTTTTTTCCCAGCACACACAGAACCAACATCATTGTGCCCCTTCAGAGACCCCAGCACCAGCCAGCTGGTGCCCACTCCTCAGAGGTCTGGGTCCCAGCTCCATGTGGCCCCTATTGTGGCATTCCTGAGGCAACAATATAGCTCAGCAGCACCTCTCCTCAGAAGTCTGAGTCCTAGCTCTGTGAGCCCTTCCTCCAAGTTTCTGAATTCTAATCATCCTAACCTCTTCCTTGTATTCTCCAAGCCCTAGGGGTGCTCTGTGAAATCTTAGTGTTTTCTTTTGCCTTTTCCATTTTCCAATACCTGGCTGACAAATACTTATATTAAATTCTCCCTGTTAAAACAATTGGTAAGGCTTCTGTCTCCTAACTGGACTCTGAATAATACACTTCCCTACCAATACGGCTGTCTTTGAGTGTTCAGTAAGATGTCTGTCTTACAACAGAACGACACTATTAATTTTATTGCATGTGAAAAATATCATTACATATTATTTATATGTTTTAAAACACAAAGAAAAATTGGTCTCTCTCTCATAATTGCAAAAGTTAGTTCTAGGTGACTTTGAAAGGGTAAATAAAGGACTAATAAAAGATTTTTCTCCCAGCAAATTTTCCAAAGCTCCAAAGCACCAGAATTCTTACTGTATGCTTTGGAAAATTTTTCATTCCCTTGGAATAATCATAGTTAGTTTTTTACCCAGGCTGGGGAAGTATTAATGTCAAACAATGGATGCTATCAATTGAAATGCCAATTGTACACAGATACTTATATTTCTTTAACTCTTGATCTGTTATATATCTTCTTTTAAATATATAACCAAAGAAAGCAATAAATATTATATATTTAATAGGTTTTTGTTTTATTTTTGCAGAAAACCAATAGATGCTAGTGACTGTTGGTAATTAGAAAGATAGAAGTCATAAAAACAGAGGAGACCTCAATATGGGTTATGAACACTGTCTTAACTATCTAGTGCTACTATAACAGAAATACTACAACTGGATGGCTTTAACAAAGCGAAATTTATTTTCTCACAGCCTAGTAGGCTAGAAGTCCACATTCAGGGCATCAGCTTGAGGGGAAGGCTTTCTCTCTCTGTTGGCTCTGGAGGAAGGACCTTGTCATCAACCTTCCCCTGGACTAGGAGCTTCTCTGCAAAGGAACCCCGGGTCCCAAGGCCACACTCTGCTCCTGGGGTGGCTTTTTTGGTAGTATGAGGTCTCCTTGTTTCTCTGCTTGCTTCTCTCTCTTATATCTCAAAACAGACTAGCTCAAGACACAATTCAATCTTCTAGATTGGGTCTTGCCTCATTAACATAACTGCTGCCTATCCCATCCCATCGACATCATAGAGGTAGGATTTACAACACATAGGAAAATCACACCAGATGACAAAATGGTGGACAATCACACAATACTGGGTATCATGGTCTAGCCAAATTGATACACATATTTTTGGGGGATGCAATTCGATCCATGACAAGCACTGACATTCATCCTACTTCCCTAAAGTGATTTAATGCTTTATTCTAAATGTACAATCAAGTGGCTGGTCACTCTCAGTAAGTAGCCACACTGCCAGTTTTAGTAATCAAAAACTTCAGACAAAAAAATAACACTACATACACAAGACCTGGATTTCTTTACAGGAGAGTTGCCAGGAAGTGCCAAGTAAACACATATTTTGAGACTAGAACCACCTACTTCAACACAAGTCTAGCTTTTAATATTAAAGTCTCACTTTGACCTGGTTGCCATGAAAATATGGACAAGAAGCCAAGCCTCACTAAGGTAACCAGAAAATAAACTGAAAGACCTTGCCTATTAGTATCAGTACCCTAAATGTACCCAGCAGACGACTGACAAGCTGGATATGGAGCAAAAGTGTAACAGAATTACCCTCATTCTGCCAAGATGATGATTTTAGAACTGAGATAGAGCTGCCAAACCATCTTTGCGATTTCCCTAAGTAAATAACAGCAGCAATGCAGCCTGGAGACAGAAAGTGCTTCCAGGATGAGCTAAATGAAGGTGAGAAGCTTCTATCTGTTCCATATGAAAATAACTGGATGACATATCATGAAAGAGCACTTAATTAAGAACTTTATCTTTAAAAATATGTTTCTCCTTTTCAACCCAGAACCATCTTCTGTTTTTCAGACAGATCCAAGAAGCAATTTTTAACTTAAGATTCATTTATTCAAGGACCTAACAGAGAACTCAGCAGAAGACTGTGTCCCCAGAAATTATTCTTTGAAGCTTGCAGTAAATTATTTAAAATGTAGACATTGTAACATGCTTCATTTTTATCACTGTCTTCAGAAAAAAAAATGAAGGATCTGATTCTTTATGGTGGAATTGTGCTGAACTCGTGAATTAATTTGGGTAGAAATGACATTCTCACTCAAGAATATATTATATCTCACAATGATTAAAATCAACTTAATTTCAAATACATTTTCCCATTGGGCTAGAAGAAACTCAATTTGTCATTATTGAGCATTGTCATTCCCATCCTGCCCCATGACTTCTGGAATTGGAATTCATTCATAGCTCCAGAATCAAAAGCATTTTGGAGAAGACCGTCAGATCCTTAATCCCTTTTGATCTGGGATGCCCGTTGCCTGTCTATATGGCCCCTTCTGGTCTGGCAGTCCTACATGAGAACCATGCCATAAGAAATGGTTTTTGAGGCTGCCGTTGGTATAGTGTGCCTAGATGCACCATGTAGACATTCTTTACTGGGGTCTTAAAGCTTCCTTGTGAGAGGCACTGCCTGGGTCCTAAGATTTTCTCTGCTCTCTCTCGTCTACTCTACTTCCTGCTACTTGATGATATGCTGCTCCACCTGCAAGTTCTATATTCTATCTCCTCTACATGTTCTCTAACTTTTCCTAGTACTTAACTTTTTGAAAGAAAATCTAAGAGGTCTTGCAAACTACTTTTGCCTTATGCCTTTGCATCTACTTCCACTGAAGCAATTAAATGCATTAGCTGGCCACTGCATGGTGAGAAATATAAGTGGGGGAAAAGCCATAAAAAAAAATCTCAAACGTGTCTAGTCATATACACTATCTTGTTGTAAGCTCAACTTGCTGTTGAATTAACACAGCGGATATTATCATCCTGTTTCAGATGAAAAAACTGAGACTAAAGAAGCTGAAGTAATTTGTCCTAGAACATAGGTTGTTTAAAGCCAACGTAAAACTGAAACATATTTCTTGATATCTCATCCCACAAAAATACTGCCTTGCAGCCAAAGCTATTCTTAAAATTTAAATGAGATTATGTTTATTCACTTAAATATTTTTCGAGTACCTTTTGTGAAGCAAGCACTTTTCTAAGCACTGGGTGAGGATTCTTACAGTGACAAACAGGAAGTTACTTGCCATTGCTTTTTTTCCTCTTAAATTATTGAAATTCCAACTGTTTATCTTTTATGTGTGTATAGTGGTAGTGGAATAATGAGAGAAATGAAACTACTTGTTGAAAAAGAGTAAGTAAATTGAGTATATTTTTACTATAGACATAGAGAAAAGTTCAGCTGAAATAAATTCACCTGATCAAACCTTAACATTTTTTTAAATAAAATCACTGTTTTACATTAGAAATAAATAAAAATATTTTACTATTATTTTTACTCACCACTTCTGCTTATACCCCACTCCATTCCTTGGATTTACTTTTCCTCTTGCTGGAGTGCATCTTCTTGTAGTTTTCTCAGCAAGAATCTGTAAGAGGTAAAGTCTATTACTCTTTACCCAAAACTTTATTTCATTTTCACTCTCAAATGATAATTTAGTGTCTCATAGTGTGGATTCTTTTTCCTCAACTTTTAAAGATTTTATTCTTTTGTCTTCTAGCATGTATTGTTGCTAATAAAAAATCTATAGTTAGCTTATTTGTTGCTACTTCGTAGGAAATCTGTAAAACAATTTTTAATAAGGTTCTATAATTTTTCACCCAGTGGCACACCATGTACAGCTGTGTAATTTTTGTCCTATACAAAGGCATATGGCTAAGAGAACAAGCAGGGACTGAAGAACAGGCCATTGGCCACCACTTCAAATCATGAAATTAAAGGACACCATCTGCCAGACGACACTAATTTCTATTTCACACAAAAGCGTCATACAGAGTAGTAGTGATTCTAAATTTCACTATAATGTGTTTAGGTGTGAATTTATGTTTCTCCTGTTTACCACTTCGGTCCCTATCTATCTGAGTATCCGTGTCTTTCTTCAATCCGTAAGATAACTCTCTCATTATCTCTTAAAGAGTTGCCTCCTCCTTATTACTGTTTTCTTATTTTGGAACACATATTAGGCTTATGTTGGATCTTCTCCATTTGTCTGCTGATGTAGGTCTTTAACAGTTCTTTCATCTTTTTTTTAGCTCTCTGTACTTTGTTCTGGCTCATCCAACTTATTATCTCTTTAGTTATGCCCACAGGTTACCTAAAACTTTACCTTATTTTTCAATTCCAGGATTTCTGATTGGTTCTTTTTGTTCCCCCTAGTTCTTGAATTACATCTGTCTGTCTGTATTTCATAATTCCTTTTCTTCTTTTATGAATGTTATTTATTCCTTTATCTCTTATACAATTTGAAAAATACTTAATTTAAAAATCAGTTTTGAAAAATTGCTTTAGTATTTGCATTCTTTAGATGATTATTCATTTGCTTATTAAGCTTATTGGTCATATTTCATGAAGTTTTGTTTTTTCCTTTTCCTGGGTAAGATTTTCTCCTCCCTCTTTTGCTCACTCCCATGAATGAAGCAGTATCTGTTGTTGTTAGGTGCCATCTAATCACTTCTGACTCAAAGTGACCCTACACACACAGAACAAAATACTGCCCGGTCCTGCATCATCCTCACAATCGTTATGCTTGAGTCCATTGTTGCAGCCACTGTGTCAATCCATCTCCTCGGTATAGTAAATATTCTTCCCCAACACTGTAATTCAAAGGCATCAGTTCTTCTTTGATCTTCCTTATTCATTGTCCATCTTTCACATGCGTATGAGGTGAATGAAAATACCATGCCTTGGGTCAGGTGCACCCAAGTCCTCACAGTGACATCTTTGCTTTTGAACACTTTAAAGAGGTCTTTTGCAGCAGATTTGCACAGTGCAATGCATCATTTGATTTCTTGACTGCTGCTTCCGTGGGTGTTGATTGTGGATTCAAGTAAAATGAAATCCTTGACAACTTCAATCTTTTCTCCGTTTATCACGATGTTAGTCTAATTGTGAAGATTTTTGTTTTCTTTTTGTTGAAGTGTAATCCATACTGAAAGCTGTAGTGCTTTCAGCAAACAAGGTTGTGTCATCTGCATATTGCAGGTTGTTAATGAGTCTTCCTCCAATCCAGATGCTCCGGTTCTTCCTCATACAGCACAGCTTCTCGGATTATTTGCTCAGCATACAGATTGAATATATTTGGTGAAAGGATACGATGCCGATGCATACCTTTCTGACTTTAAACCACTCAGTATTCCCTTGTTTTGTTCGAATGACTGTCTCCTGGTCTAAGTACAGGCTCCTCATGAGCATAATTAAGTGTCCTGGAATTCCCATTCTTTGCAATGTTATCCATTATTTATTATGATCCACATAGCCGAATGCATTTGCATGGTCAATAAAACACAGGTAAACATCTTTCTGGTATTCTCTGCTTTCAGCCAAGATCCATCTGACATCAGCAATAATATCCCTAGTTCCACATCCTCTCCTGAATCTGGCTTGAATTTCTGACAGTTCCCTATCAATGGACTGCTGTAACCGCTTTTAAACGATCTTCAGAAAAACTTTGCTTGAGTGTGATATTAATGATACTGTTTAATAATTTCCACTTTCTGTTGGATCACTTTTCTTTGGAATGGGAACAAATATGGATCTCTTCCAGTCGGTTAGACAGGTAGCTGTCTTCCAAATTTCTCAGCATAGGTGACTGGCTTCCAACATTGCATCTGTTTGTCAAAACATATCAAGGGACATTCCATTAATTCCTGGAGCCTTGTTTTTCACCAGTGCCTTCAGTGCAGTTTGGACTTCTTCAATACCATCAGTTCTTGATCATAAGCTACTTCTTGAAATGTAGTAGTATCTAGATACTTTAAATATACATATATTTTAAAATATTTTGCCCAATATTGCTACGGTGGACGTGTTAAAGGGGGTGGTTAATGCATCAATTAACAATATCACTTTAATTGGAAGTTTCAAATACACATTTGGAATATATCATTTGCTCAAAAATATTTTACAGGTTTGGTGTGCAAGGTTAGAATTCAAAACTTTTTGTGCAAGGTCAGTTTCTAATTACGCAGTTCAGAGGTATAGAAAACTATAATTCATGGGCCAAATCCATCCTGCCACCTATTTTTATAAGATCTGTGACCTAAAAATGTTTTTTTACATTTTCAAAGGGTTGTTAAAAAAAAAAAGAAAAAGAAGAATGTGCACCAGGAAGCATACATGGCTTATAAAACCTAAAATATTTCCCATTTTGCCTTTTACAAAAAAATTTTGCTGATCGCAGACATAGTCTATCTAGGGATGCCATATGAATTTATTTTCATAAGTCTGTGGTGAAGCTCAGAAAATTACCTCAGATTATTCTGATTTAGATAGTTCTAAAACCATACCCGGAGATAACCTGTCCTAGGAATCCATATATACTGGTTTCAGCGAGAACACTTGGAGAGCCACCAAACTGTTTGCCCAAAGGCTTAATAACTGGGTCAAATAGCAGCCATAACTGTCATTGGCTGCAGAGACCTGTACTAATGCTCTATCACCTTCTTCGTTAGTCCAACTCAAATGTCATTATATGACTACGGTCTCCTCTCAGATAAAAAAAATGAAGAAAAAAGTTACTTTCTATTATTTATTTATTCTCACAATATGGAAATTCCAAACCGCTTTTCTTTTCTTCGTGTAGTAGTGGTGGACTGATGAGAGAAATAGGAACTTGTTGGTTGAAAAATTGAGTCACTAAATCAAAAACATTTGAGAACTATAGACAGAGAGGAGAATTTCAGCTGAAGTAAATTCACCTGACCAAACTTAATGTTCTTTTCTATAAAATAACTGAGTTCCGCATTGGAATGAAAAAGAACCAAATGCTACATTTGTAACTGAGAATAGGATAACAGAATAGTTAATAAAAAATACTTCTAATATTAGATGATGACTCTCTAGAACTTATTTATTTCTTAATTTGATTCTAAGTACTTAAAAACTGCTAAAAATTTTTGGCCTAAACAGAAATGTTCAAAGGAGAATTTACATCCACATGCTAGCATACAGACCCAAAAAGAGCTTCTAAAATTACTTATAGAGTTAATTTCCAAACAATGTGAAGACTAACGATGACTTTCAGTTGGTGATGAAAGAACAATACATCCTTGCTATCTTGTTTCTTTCCAGAGACAAAAGGTCCTGAGACTAACTGATGAAGAAGCTCTTAGTAGAAAGTTTGATGTATAGAGAGAGTAGTTCAAAGAGGTCACACAAACAGATGTTTGGCTTGTAATGTAGTTTTGTGTCTTGAGTTCTAAACTAGTTTACTGACTTAACTATAGTCACTATGCCAGACTATTTTTTGAAGACTGGACACAAGCTTAATCTCTTCCCGCCCCAAAGTGTTCGTTCTTAATCAAGCTGAAGGGGTTTTATGTTACTGAGCATAAGGAATATGTATCACAATAAAGAAAAGTAACTTTCTTTTTCTATTCTTTATCTAGGTATCAGTTTCTTTCTCCTAGCTGAATATAAAGTACATTTTCCACTTTAAAATCACCCTTTAGAAATTTTGTTCTTATTCACTGTGGCAGAGAAGATAAAAAGTGATTAGAGTTTCTATCCTGAGCCTTGGATCCTGTTACAGCTGACAAGTCAATATTCTAACAGGAATAAAATCTGAAATGATTGCTTTCTTGCTGGCTTTCTATACAATACAAAGATAAACTGTGAACTGAGTCCTCTTGACAATGGAAATATTTTATTAGGTACATCCAAGTTATGCTCCCGCCACTCGTCTGTCAGTTTGTCGTACTATGGTGGCCTGCGTGTGGCTGTGATGGTGGAAGCTATGCCACTGGTATTTCAAATACCAGCAGGCTCACCCATGATGGGAGGTTTTAGTGGAACTTCCAGACTAAGACAGACTAGGAAGATGGATCTGGTGGTCTACTTCTGAAAAATTGGCCAGTGAAAACCTTCTGAAGACCAGCAGAGCATTGTCTGATATAGTGCCTGAAGATGAGCCTCTCAGGTTGGAGGGCACTCAAAATACGACTAGGGAAGGGCTGCCTCCTCAAAGCAGAGTTGACCTCAATAATGTGGATAGAGAAAAGCTTTCAGGACCTTTATTTGCTGATGTGGCAGCACTCAAAATGAGAAGAAACAGCTGCAAATGTCCATTAATAATTGGAATGTGGAATGTATGAGGCATGAATCTAGGAAAACTGGAAGTCATCAGCAATGAACAAGGCCAGGAGCTGACTGTGGAACAGATCACTTGCTTATATGCAAGTTTTAGTTGAAGATGAAGTAAATTAAAACAAGTCCACAAGTCAAAATGTGACATTGACTATATCCCACCTGAATTTAGAGACCATCTTAAGAATAGATTTGATGCACTGAACATTAATGTTCGAGACCAGATGAATTCTGGGATGACATTAAGGACATAATACACGAAGAAAGCAAAAGGTCATTAAAAAGACAGAAAGGAAGAAAAGATGACACCAAAATGAGTGTCAGAACAGACTCTGAAACTTGCTCTTGAACGTAGAGTAGCTAAAGCAAATGGAAGAAACAATATAGTAAAAGAGCTGAACAGAAGATTTCAAAGGGCAGCTCAAAAAGACAAAGTAAAGTATTATAATCAAATGTGCAAAGACGTGGAGTTAGAGAATAAAAAGGGAAGAACATGCTGGGCATTTCTCAAGCTGAAAGAACAGAAGAAAAAATTCAAGCCTCAAGTTGCAATTCTGAACGATTCTATGGACAAAATATTGAATGACGCAGGAAGCATCAAAAGAAGATGAAAGATGAAGACAGAGTCACTGTACCAAAAAGAATTAGTCAATGTTCAACCATTTCAGTAGGCAGCATATGATCAAGAATCAATGGTATTGAAGGAAAAAAATCCAAGCTTCACTGAAGGCTTTGTGAAAAACAAGGTTCCAAGAGTTGACAGAATACCAATTACATGTTTCAACAGATGGATGCCAATGTTGAAAGTGCCCATTCATCTATGCCAAGAAATTTGGAAGACAACTACCTGGCCAACCAATTGGAAGAGATCCATATTTGTGCCCATTCCAAAGACAGGTGATCCAACAGAATGAGGAATTATCAAACAACATTATTAATATCACAGGCAAGTGAAACTTTGTTGAAGATAATTCAAAAGCGGTTGTAGCAGTACATTCACAGGAATTCATAACCACCAGAAATTCAAGTCGGATCACAACAAATTGTGGAAAACGTTGAGAAGAATGGGAATTCCAGAACACTTAATTGTGCTCATGAGGAGCCTATACCTACACCAAGAGGCAGTCATATGAACAGAACAAAGGGATACTGTGTGATTAAAAATCAGGAAAGCTGTGCGTTTGGGTTGTATCCTTTCACCATACATATTCCACCTGTATGTCGAGCAAATAATCTGAGAAACTGGACTATATGAAGAAGAACACGGCATCAGGATTGGAAGAAGACTGTAGTGTAACGGATTGCTTTTTGTGTGGTCTTTCTAGCTATGGTCTTGTACCTCCCATCCAGGTGATTGAACAGGACTGTGGTGGCACAGTGGTTAAGAGCTCAGGCTACTAATCAAAAGGTTGGCAGTTCGAATCCACCAGCCGCTCTTTGGAAAACCTGTGGGGCA